TTTTTTTTTAATAATCTATTTATTTGTCAAGGCTCAAATGCGTTAGCTTTGCGGAGCCGAATATTTTTTACATTATTGTGTGTGAATATCATTTTCTTACAACTAATGTTAGTAGAACGGGGGCCGATTACTCGCGGTTTACTCGAGATCAGGGATTACATTTATTGATCATTTGAAGGGAGGACAGGGGAAAGCATTTTGAACTAATTTAAAACTTAAACGTAAAGGATGACTAAAACACAACACATTAAACACATACATCAACAGCTTTAAGAAAGTCGTAAATAAGCTTCATAAAGTCGATATCACGGCAAGCCAAGACGTCTCTAATTGGCTTAAAGGGTTGTTTTCCTTGGACCTTAAGGGAATCACACAGAACGGATCTCGCCTCATGATGCAAGGAGCAGGACCAAACAACATGCTCGATGTCGTGATAACCGTTTCCACAGGTGCACAAGTTGCTGTCGGCAAGCGTAATACGGAAGAGGTGGGCGTTTAACGAACAGTGATTGGACATGAGCCTGGACATTACACGAATAAAATCACGACTCATATCCAACCCTTTGAACCAGGGTTTGATCGACACCTGTGGGACAATAGAATGTTGCCATCTTCCCAGATCACCATCATTCCACTTTTGTTGCCAGTTGGCGATGACTAAATCGTGAAAAATTCGTGGTAGGCGATTTTTCGCTCGTAAATATCGCCTTCCATAGCGCCCACCTTGGCCAGCGAGTCCGCTTTCTCATTGCCCGGGATAGAGCCATGAGAAGGGACCCATACCAATGTGATGGCATGCGAGCTGTTTAATAAAGCACTCAATGACGATCGTATTTCCTGGAGGAAATACGCCGAGTGCTTCATCGGCCTCATTGAACGCATAGCCTCCAGGGAGCTTAGGCTATCCGTAAAAATGAAATAATGGTCAGGTGGAAGTGAGGCAATACGCTCTAACGTGTACGATATAGCTGCTAGTTAAGCAACGTATACCGAACACGGTTTTTGAAGCTTGTATGAGGCGCTATAAAGATCGTGGAATACTCCAAAACCAGTTTTTTTTTTTGTAAAACCTTATATTTTGATGCTTAGTTGTTAATAGCTAGATAAAATACAAAATTGTCCAATCCTATTGAGTTTTCATGGGTTTCAATTAGATAGCTAAAGTAAAGACCTAATAATTTAATTAAGCAGTTTTTAGTTGATTCATTACTGTTTCGGAAGTACGGATCAATCCATTCCTCCGGTTCTAATCTGGCTAACCTAGAATCGTGATGCAAAAATTTTCTTCGTAGAAACCTCCAGATATCTCTGACATGTTGGCAATGGAAGAGCTTGTGTATCGTGGTTTCTAGCTCTCCCGGACATGATTCACAATAGGGGTTATCTACTACACCTCGTTGAAACAGCAACTCTTTATGCCTTATCTTCTTGTGCATTACCACAAACCAATTTGAGCGCTGCGATGATGTTAGAACTTTGTTGTGGAGATATTTGAAAACAGTTTTCCAGTCGCGTTGTACAGCCGATACAAATCCAGGATCCGGTTTCAGCGTCAGAAAGTGAAGATATAATCCTTGGGATGATGGGGTGTTGCTCAATTGATCTGGTAAGTGAGGCAGTTCCGCCTTCAGTATAGTTACGTGGTTGAAAATTGCTGGTATTGTAGTGTTTGGATTCTCCAGGAAGCTGCTCAATAGTGGAAGTTGCTGTGCGAAATTCATCATCCGATTTACAAGCAGAGCTTTCGCTTTTGTTTCTGGACAATGTAGGTTTAGACCTCCTCTAGATTTTGGGAGAATTAGATTTGCAAAAGCTATTCTTTGCAAGGATTGGCCGTGCCAAATGAATTTCCCGATCTCTGCCTTTATTTTTGTAGCAAATCCCTTTGTGAGTGGTATATTTGAGGCCATATACCAGAGTTTTGAGTTTATGTATGTGTTCATCAAAATGATTTTCTGTAGCAGTTTCAGCTTCCTCGGGTGGTGAAACCAGAGTCGGGTTCGGAGTCCGTTGAGAACGGACTGCCAGTTTAGTTTCTGTGCTTGTTTAATATTTTCTCCGTAGCGTACACCGAGAATGTTAACAAAGTTTTCAACATTTAACCATTCCGTGTCTGAGGTGAGGTTGACGTTTCCAATTATAACTGCTACAGTTTTCTGTTTATTTAATATAGACCCAGAAAATAATCCAAACTTATTGAAGACATTTACCACTTGAAAACCAGTGAAAGCATTTATCACCGACCCATGGGAATGGTGAGGCTCTGGAATTCCTTGAATCTCCTGCCTCATTGTGAGATCGAATCTCCCGGAAGAACAACTGAAACGATGGTAGACAGCGCGATTGGAGTTGAACGAAGAGGGGTCGATATCCAGAGTCATGTACTCGTAGTACAAGCTCATGAATCGTGTTTGAGGATTCCGCTCTAGCAGCTTCTCAAAGTTTTCGATCACCAGCGGGTTCATGACTTCACAGCGGATGAGGAACCGGAACGATAAATCCGCAAAACGATTTGTTAACGCCCGCAAGAACTTCAAGACTCATGGTAGGCGTCGATTGCATACAACCTAGTGCGATTCGAATGCAACGATATTGAATCCTTTGGAGCTTCAATATGTGCGTCCCCGCCGCCGATTGAAAGCAAAAGCTACCGTACTCCAAAATCGAGAGTCTTGTAGAGTCTTATCAGATCTTCCGGATGGGCTCCCCATGAAGTGCCGGTAATGGAACGAAGGAAATTGATTCGCTGTTGGCATCTCAGATACGCTATGTGTTTTCCCCAAGTGCACTTGGAATCGAACCAGACACCTAAATACTTAAACGACATGATGTGAGTGATTGTTCTACCCATAAGTTGAAGCTGAAACTGTGCTGGATAAAGCTTCCTAGATAAAACAACCATCTCTGTTTTCTCCGGAGAGAATTCGATACCCAGATTCATTGCCCAAGACCTCACACTCAAGACCTCATCCAAAAAGCCAATAGCTATCCTCACGGACTCAGCCAGCTGTCTTTATGCTCTCGAGTCCGGTAGGTCTACACATCCATGGATCGAAAGTATTGAAGCGACAGTTCACAACAAAACATAAAATTCTGCTGGATTCCTGGTCATGCTGGTATTCAAGGAAATATTTCTGCAGACCGTCTAGCGGGTGAAAGAACGAACCACATGATATCCCAATACCAGCCATGGACGCAGAAAGAGAAGTCAAAAGCGTTATACGAGAACGATGGGACCAACTATAGTTCAATTCGCAGGACGTTAAGCTCCGCGAGATAAAATCCGACACAAGCCAATGGAAGGACAGCGCGAACCCCGCAGACCAACGGGTCCTAACCCGATTGAGAATATGACATACGAGGCTCACCCACGAGTTCCTGATCAACATGCGAATGCTGCGGCTACATCATCGAAACACGTTATATCCTTCTGGACTGCAGGAAATATCAAGATTCCCGATCGCAATCCAACATTGACTCTTCAAGCCTGCAAGCAATACTCCACAATAATGATGCAGTAGAAAAAAACATCATTGCTTTCCTAAAAGAAAGATCAGTGCATAAAACAAATTGTAATTAATCCAATCTAGACATGAATGCACGATAGTGTAAAATGTCTCTCATAAAAAAAATCAAATGATAGTGAGAGACTCAATTGACAGTAACGATGAGCTTCGAATGAGAAAGGGGCTCTTCAAAGTATGGTCACACAGCAAAAAAATAATTTTGATATCACATCAAAGCTAGCGGCGCCGGTGGTGTAGTGGTAAGCGTGATTGCCTCTCACCCCAGCAGGCCTTGGTTCAATCCCAGTCGGCGCCGTCGGGATGTTCTGAGGCATAACATCTCTGATCACGCCTTCCTTAGGAAGGGAAGTAAAGCCGTTGGTCCCCGGTTCATATGAGCTGATGGGTCGTTAAGTAAGGTCCAGGTGTGGGAGCTGCCTCCCTGGCGTCGCACAGTGGTTTCAAGGGTATCAAAAAACGCGTTTTTTTATTTACGCTTAAATGGTTGATTAAAGATACTAGGTGTCTTGTGAGAAGTTTCTTGGGTTACAACACTCCTTCTTATGGTAACAGAAAATTAAAGATTAATCCACCTAAAAGTAAGATGCAAAATTTATTTTTTCAATATAATAAGATACAAAATAATTGTGTTCGGCAAAGCTGTAGGAAACATTACTGTGAACAACTTTGCTGAAAACTATAACTTTTTAGCTCTTATAACTGCTGAGATATAAAGGTTTTTTTGAGGAGACATCGTTAAAATCAGTTTTTTATCTGTAACTTTTTTTTACAATGTTTCTACTTGTCTGGCATGTTCTATAAAGATGTTAGAAATATCAAATTACATATCTTTTCAGAAGACTACAAATTGCTACCATCAATATTTGAAAAGTTATTTACATTTTTTGGTTGAAAATTACCCAACTTCCAATATCAATAGTTTCTTAACGGGCAAAAACGAGCAGGCCATTCTTTGAGCAAATAAAAGTACAGGAAAATGCAATTAAATTGTGAAGAACCCAGACCAACCCCACTTGACCCTTAACCAAAATACTTGCATTAAAACTTGTCACTTTTCAGAATTTGAAATGACGATTTTGTGAAACCACGGGACTGCTATCGAGTAGGTGTGAAAAGAAGCATACAAATGGATAACCAAGCAACCTGGGTTATTTCTAGTGACTAACTAACTGACTTTCTAAGATTCGCTTACAATTATGTGGGATTCATCATCAGAGGATGTTAGTGGAGACCACATGAACCAAGGATGCGATATACCTAGCTGCGGTCCAATGCAAGAAAATTGGAGACCGAAAAATGTAGAGTGTATTAGTGAGGGAAATTAGTTATGTCGAAAAAGTTGGAATGGTTGTATACTAGATACGACCGCAGGGTTGGCGTTGGATAACGTCTGTTATGTGTTGTACTTAATTGTGTATATTTTAGGAATATTCCTTAACTCTGTTGCGATATCTTTCCCCAAAGTGCGTTCGGACAACTCAGGCGTTTTCATTAATTTCTTCTCTCGATTCCGGAAGTGCACGACGTATCTGGAACTACCACACCAAAATGTATGCAGAATATTGTCGGTACTGGATTAGTAGCGGTAACCAGCAGGACCTACGTTGATTTAAGCTTAACACCCGCAGATTGATGAACGCTCCACCACATCACTTCAACCTTTCACATTCTGGCAAGAAAGTCAATTCTAAAACACCTTTTAAATTTATATGGTGGCCCTGAAAAGGGCCGGTTTTTTGTTCTGAGTCGATGATACTAAATTAACCCCCGAATCCGTACAGAGTACGTCCCTGCCGCTTCAGAGCGTAAACGACATCCATGGCGGTGACAGTCTTCCTCTTCGCATGTTCGGTGTAAGTAACGGCGTCACGAATAACGTTTTCCAGAAATACCTTCAGCACTCCTCTGGTTTCTTCGTAAATGAGACCGGAAATTCTCTTAACTCCACCACGACGAGCCAAACGACGGATTGCAGGTTTAGTGATGCCCTGGATGTTGTCACGCAACACTTTTCGGTGACGCTTGGCTCCTCCTTTGCCAAGTCCTTTTCCACCCTTGCCGCGTCCAGTCATTTTCTAGTATGATAATTGTAACGTCGATGAAGGTTGAAACGAAAGTGAACAAAAATTCCAAATTTTGGCTGTTTTATACCTACTCAAGGGTTAAATTCTTTTTGTTAGTTGTTGTGTTCTTGTTCTTTCATCGTTTCTGATTGGTTGAACACAGAAAACGCATGTTATAAAACAGAATGGAAGTGATTTTTATTTTTTATTCCACAGTGTGCTTTCATTGAATACACATCACAACCAACAAAATGGCTCAGCGACCGCTCGCAAGTCCACTGGAGGAAAGGCTCCTCGCAAGCAGTTGGCAACGAAGGCCGCTCGCAAGAGCGCTCCAGCCACCGGAGGAGTAAAGAAGCCCCATCGCTACCGGCCAGGCACCGTCGCCTTGCATGAGATCCGTCGCTATCAGAAATCCACCGAACTGCTGATCCGAAAGTTGCCTTTCCAACGTCTGGTCCGTGAAATTGCCCAGGACTTCAAGACCGATCTGCGCTTCCAGAGCTCAGCTGTTATGGCTCTGCAGGAAGCTAGCGAGGCCTATCTGGTCGGTCTGTTCGAGGATACCAATCTGTGTGCCATCCACGCCAAGCGCGTCACTATCATGCCGAAGGACATCCAGCTGGCTCGTCGTATTCGTGGAGAACGCGCTTAATTACCCCGTCTAAATCTTAACAAAACCGGCCCTTTTCAGGGCCACCACAATAATTTAAAAGAGTTGAAGTGACCTTTAAAATTTAAAATCGTTCGTTCCGTTCTTGTCTAGATTAAGTTACGAAGTAGAACGTGTGCGGGGGTTTGTTTCGGTGTATGATTTGGAAATGAATTTCACTTTATTATATATCAAAGTGAAAAGGTCTTTGCCAAATCCACTAGAAAATAATATAAGGTACTTTCTAAGTAAATTTTATTATGTTTTCAAGATTTTCGTTGTTAAGAATTTTAAAATTATTTTTCGAGATAAAATATGGCTCTGCGAAGATTCAACTTTAGAAAATTAATCGTTAAACTCATTCTTGATAATGTTGTGGCCCTGAAAAGGGCCATTTTTCCAACGCGCTCGGCGAAGTTGCCCTTGCGGAGCAGACAGTGAATACGACCGACTGAGAACTGCAGCAGCTGGGCATTCCATGACGGCGGCCCAGTATACCGGAGCACTGGCACCAACGCACTCGGCGTAGTTGCCCTTTCGCCCCCAGGCTCTGCTTCCGCTGCTCTGGTACTGCTGCTCTGCTGCTCTGCTGCTGGGTCGACGATCGGATAGACAATGATGGAACGGGTGATCTCTTTCTCTTAAAGCGTTCATTTATTTTAATCTTTTTGTTATTTGTACATGATATTTAGTTAAGTGATTTAAGTTTAACTTTTTCAACCTTTAGTTAACATTCATTTTACATCAGTGATGTATGTGTTTGTTTTTCTTTGGGAATAATTGTGTGTTTGGATACTCATGTATCTCTGTGAATTTGATAATCTACTTAACCTACTTAACCTAATATTGCATACCCTAGTTTACCAGCGCTCGGATGAGCGGATGCTCCGAGAGTGTAGCACTCTCGTTGAAATTTCCAAACGATTCATCGATTCGCTCCTGTACCGTCTTGCATCCTGCGGTTCGATGTAGATCACGTATCCTCGTGCCGAACGGGGCATCCAGTATTGTCCTCAGCAGCCGGTTTTGGACCACTTGTAGCTTCTTCTTGTGGGTCTCAGCACACGTACCCCACACCGGCATGGCATAGTTGACCACCGGAGCGATGATCATGTTGAAAACTGCTAGCTTGTTCCGTTGCGACAGCCTAGACCGTCGTGCTATCAACGGGTACAACGATCTCGATAGCGCGATGCATCTGTTCTTGAGGTTGTCGGTGTGGGTACGATAGATTCGCTTGTCATCGATGGTGACTCCGAGGTAGTTGACTTCGTTTGCCCACTCCACAGGCCGGCCGTTCACTCGGATGAGGCAGTCGGCTGGAGGTAGTAGTCTTGATGCTGGTCTATGTCGGAAGAGGATGGCTTGACTCTTGGTTTCGTTCACTTTGATCTTCCAGCTGGTCAGGTACGAGACGTACGCCGTTACGCCCTGCTGAAGCCGATACCGATAGATGTTTGGGGATCTACCGTTGGCCATGATGGCACTGTCATCTGCATACAGCGCGAGGCTGCATCCAGCAGGGAGTTGTGGAACATCGGAGGTGTAGATGTTGTATAGGATGGGGCCCAGAAGGCTGCCCTGAGGTACACCCGCTGGGACCCCTTGGAGTTCCGAAGCAGCACCTGGAAGATGTACTCGAAATGTTCTGTTTGTGAGATAATTTCTTACCATTCTCGCGAGGTAGGCCGGGAAGTTCGCTTGCACCAGCTTGTGGACTAGCCCGTCGTGCCAGACGTTGTCGAAGGCCTTTTCCACATCCAGGAGTACCATAGCCGTGTTGGTGGAGAGTGCCTTGTTCCGTTCGATGGTGTTCTCCACTCGGACCAGTTGGTGGACGGTTGAATGTCCCTTCCGAAAGCCGAACTGCTCCGGCACGATGACATGATGCTCTTCGATGTGTTCCATCAGACGTTGGAGAATGAGCCGTTCGAAGATCTTGCTGACTGCTGATAGTAACGTGATCGGCCTGTAGCTCGATGGGGCAGTTGGGTCCTTCCCCGGTTTTGGGATAGGGATGACCTTCCCTGTCTTCCATCTGGTCGGGAAATAGTTTAGCTGGAAGCATCTGGTAAAGATTGCTGCCAGGAAACGGAACGCCTTGCTGGAGAGCTTCTTCAGAACCAGGTTGAAGATAGCGTCGTTGCCGGGGGCCTTCATGTTTTTGCCGCGCTTCACTGCTGCACGCACCTCATCCTCGGTTACTTGACCGTCGAACGGCACATCGTCGACTTGTTCGTTGAGCTGATTGATGGTACGTTGCACCGCAGCTTCGTGGGGACTCACCATGCCTGCACCGATGTTGTGCGCTTCGATGAGTTTGCTAGCGATGGCGTTGGCCTTCTCCGATGGGGATACCAGGATGCCTCCGGTGTCGTCTTTCAGTGGTGGAACTTTTGCTGGTTTTTTCTTTAGGACCTTGGCCACCTTCCAGAACGGCCTTGAGTGGTCGCTCATATGTTCGATGCTGCTTGAGAACTGCTCGTTCCTGATCTTCGCCATCCGGTCCCCAATCTGGCTGTTGAGGTGGGAGACTTCTTGTTTTTTCAGAAGGCATCCGGTCCGTTGGAATTGCCGTCTGACGGTGTTTCGTTGCTGGATCAATTTCCGGGTGTAGACGTCAATCGTGGTGAATTGTTGTCTCACCGGTACCCAACGGATAGTAGCCTCTTCTGCAGCGTGTACGATGTCTTCGAAAGCTTCCAGCTGAGTGTCGATGGCTTCGATGGATGGCAGATCCATATCTTCGGGAAGTCGTGAGTCCACCAGGCGACTGAATGCCACCCAGTTAACGCGATGATAGTCTCGTCTCATCGATACCGGTGCTGTTGTTGGGTTGAAATCCAGTTCACACACCACCGGGTAGTGGTCGGAGCTCAATTCATGATGGGTGACTGGTTTCGAGAGTGCCAGGTCGGATAGGAACACGTCCAAGGTGGATGTTACTCCGGCTGGGGAGAGGAACGTTGGTTCGTCTGGAAAATGAATGTCACACGTACCTGAGCTGAGGTGGTTTGCAAGGAGGGTGCCATTTTTGTTACAGTTGTGATTTCGCCATAATGTGTGGCGGGCGTTGAGATCACCGGCTACCACAAAGCCGGTTCTATTGTCGGTGAGCTTTTGGAGATCTTCCGCGAAGAGTTTTGCTGTTCCATTACTGTCTGCACACTGCCTCGGTACTTAGACGGCAAACAGCACGATGTCTCCATCAACAGCATGTATTTTTACGCCGATTGCTTCGACGATTGTTGTTTTCGGATGTGGTACGATCTCATAGCGGATGCCATGTTTTACGATAACAGCTACTCCGCCGCCGGTTGAGTTGGGGCGATCTAGCCGGATCATCGTGTGAGCAGGGAGGGAGAAATTTGTTTTTGGGTTGAGCCGGGTTTCGGTGATAACTCCTACGTCGATGTTTTGTTGAGCAAGGAAGTTGCCCAACTCTATCTTTTTCGCTCTTATTGAGCGAGCATTCCAATTGGCAATTCGCATGCTGCGGGGCTCAGTTGACCCCATATTTGCAGAGCAATTCACCAATGACCTTAACCTGGTCAGTACCTTTCTTGCACTGCTTCAAACGATCGCAGAACTCGCTAAAGATGGCCCACAGCTCGGCAGAACTGTAGAGCTTGTCTTCGCTTTCCTCGGAAGAGGAATCCGTTGTGGTTTGCGCACCGGCTCTGGTGCGAGGATCGATACGAGGTTGTTTATTCCCGGCAGACTGTGGGTCATCGTCGGGTTTCGGCCTGGGCGGCAGCGGAGGAAAATCCTTTGGGTTCGGAGCAGGCGCAGGAACCTTTTTGACTTCCTTCCGTCCCGGCTGGTGCGTGGTTGTTGCTTGTTGCCGAATCCGGATGTATTCGGCACGTTTGGGGCAGCTACGGTCTGTAGCCGAGTGAGCGCCACCGCAGTTGGCACAACGTTTCGCTGGTGCGTCCTTAGTCGGACACGTTTCTGAAGCGTGGGGTTCACCACAGTTGTTACACCTGCTCTTCAGGTGACAGTTTCGGGTTCCATGGCCGTGGTAGAGGCAATTCATGCACTGCGTTACATCGGCCCGTTTGTTGCGGTATGCTTCCCACCGCACGATGATATGCGCGATGTGTTTCACCTCTCTCAGCTGCTTGAGGTTGGTGTACCCTTTGGCGAAGTGCACCAAATAGAAGGACTCATCCAGGGCTGCACAATCTCCCTTCCTCTTGATGATGTGAGCCGCCTGGGCGGTGAGATTGTGTTCGTTCTTCAGGCGCCCCAGCAGCTCCTTTGGATCGACCAGCGGAAGACCACGAAGCACTACCCGGTAGGGTCGTTCATTTGGTTTGTCGTGTGTGTAGTACTCAAGTCCACACCGCTTCAGATGCTTTTCCACCTTGTTGAACTCCTCTGCGGAGGTG